GTGAAATTTCAATATATGTACTTATTTTAACATACAAGCATACATACGTCTCGTCTCAATGTTAAAGGAATCTTAGAAAGTTCCAAGTTTCTGTTTAAGACCCCCATAATAATCTTGCTAACTTTGAATGTAATTTACTTATTCCATTTCCTTAAATTTACTTTGATCATTTATCTCAAAAGGGTGAGGCACTTTGCATATTTTTACGAGATTATTTTCAACAGCAGAACGTTTTTTCAGCTTGACGACAAAGGAAGACAAAATAAGACACATTAATTTATTTGACAATAAGTTTGATAAAGCTGGTTCTATTTGGCCTACGAAGTTATATAGAGGCTGCAAATAAATAAAAGCCAAAATAAATTTCATTTTTTTTATTTGACACCATATTTTATGCACTCCATTAAAACACCAATTGTAACAAAATGTTGATATTTTTGTTACATTTTCGTCATGCTAACAATATAACATTCTTTAGTAAATACAAGAGTAAATGTAACGCTGTATTGCTTGAATATTTTTAATGCAACAAAATAGAGAGACAACTTTGTTTATCTCTTGGTACTGTAGGTAAACATTTCAATGTTATAACATTGAAAATATATGTATACAAACAATTTACTATATTGTGTTATATTTTTAATAACAATAAATTATGTAACGGTATTCAATATAATATGTATGGGTAAGCTGCTTAAAGTGCTACACGGTTTCTGGTAGTCTCATCGGAACATGAACTGTTATTATTTTTGTGCAATGTGAAGTGATTAGCATATTACACCGAAGCAGTATGCAAATGAGCACTTCAGCAGATAACACAACGTACCAAGAAGTCTGCGTAGCACTGTTAAGAGCGAAATGTCAACATACAATTTAAATTACTTTTGCAATTCCTTCAAGTAAAGGCGTCATGACAGAAAGGGAATTAATAACATATTAATCAACAATGCTTCTAAAACTTTAACTCAATTAAAAACATTCCAAATATCTTTTTTATACCCTAGTCTTCGTTAAGTTTTGTGTGCGTTTATGCAACTAATAGTAAAACAAATAGTTTAAAGTGCCAATAAGTTTTTTAAAATTTAATAACTTCTTTTAGTTTTGATTTAGAAATTATGAAATAAGGATATTTTTAATGTAAGGATTGATTTATCAATTAACACAATATTTCTATAAAAACCATTTCATGACTTTTGAGAAAAAATATAACCATGTAATAGCAATATACAGTTATATTATAAATATAAACTATCGATGAAGGGTGTCCGCAGATGATCTACTCAGTTTAATTTTTGAAATCTAGTTCCACTTTTGTAAACCCAGTCCACCTTATTCCAAAACGTGGACTAAATTAGTCTTGGTTTAAAACCAATGTTGTCTCTGTCTTCCTTTTAGCAAACAAAAGTGACAGCATCTGTAAATTTGACAGAAATCTCTGCGAACTGGACAGCAAGGGCTAAGAAGCTTAAGAGGCCCTGATGTCACAAAAATACATAGGTACCTAAGAAAATACATAATAAATAAATTAACCATTCAACGCTATGGTTCAGTTGCATTTTGGTGTAAGATCCCAAGACCGATAGACCTTACTTATTTTCTAATGGACAAAATATGAATACTTGAATAGTTTAAGTGTGTACAATAAGGTATACCTACATACTCGCTAACTTACGGTGGACAATTCTTGGGTATCTGGTGGTACAGGCACGTAAAAAATTCCCTTCCTTTATTTACAGTCTAAAGACTGATTCTTACGTATGTTGTAGAGAATATTGTAAACAAATTGAAATTTACACGGCCAGACACATTGTGTCAGCAGTATTTATTGCCAGACACTTAATGCCGAAAGCAGAAAACACAAACTCACTTATTTTCTGTAGTAATTTTGTCAATTCTATAAAATAGCAAGTTTGTATTCGTTCATTGTTAACACTTATACTACTCAATTATCCATATTTTGTCCATAACAAAATAAATAAGATCTGGCGGTCTTGGGATCTTGTACTATTTGTATGGTCTTATACGGGTACAATAATTACATTAGGATGTGCAAAATGATTAAATTCACATATCACCCTAAGTCCATGATATATGGATAGCAATCTGTATTTTGTATTTAAGCAAAACCGTTTACGTATCTGCGGCGATTCAAAAACCGAATATTTTAGTGAATAAAATATACATAATTTAATATCGATAAAACATCTTTTTGTCAGAATGGTGTAGATGAAACACAAATAACAACTATTTATAGTATAATATTTTTTCTATAAAATGAATAAAAATTGTATTTTTTAACATTAGTACATTTTCAATGTTCTCTTTATAGTAAGAGTGAGTGTGTTTTTATTTCCATAATCAATTCCACACTTTACAATTCGTCCTATCTAACACTTAAGACGATTCTTGCCATAAGGAAGGTATTTTATATTTAATTTTATGATAATTTGGTTATTCACATTTTGTCACAATGTGGATAATGGCGTTATAATTAGGTTATAATTCATTCACCATATTAATTTTATCGATCATCAATTCCTGTGAAGATAAAGATATGGACGAGTACAAAAGTGAGTTTGGAATATTTCGGCAAATTACCTATTTGAAAATGTTGGACCATGGAGTGGTTGAAATAAATGACAGCAATCATTAATATAACTTGTGCGAAAGTATAATAATAACTATGAGAAGTATTTGTTTAACATTAGTTGACAAGCACAAGGATGATATTATTAAATTGTGTCTTTTCGCTTTAAACTCCTTTAACAGATAATGCAAGCGATTTACCTAGCCGCATCGCTAGTAGTGTGGTCAACTGCGAAAAAGAATCAAATGGTTGCTACGTCTGTCTGTTCATATAGATAAGTCACAAACAGACAGCTTGCCTCTTAGCGCTAAGCTATGTTCTGTGCAGTGGTCTTAGCCATATCGTACAGTCTGTTCATCTTAACTTGTTCTATTTGGTAAACAAACTTGGCATAACTTTTTAACAAAATCACCCATTTAAAAATAAAATAATAACAAAGTGAATAATCTATTACAATAAATCTTTATTATGGACTGAAACCTATTGAATCGAGTTATCAGTTGATTTTTAATGCTGCATTTTCAATAAAAAGGATTGCCCATGTGGTTTACCAGATAGGACAACTTAGGATGAACAGGGATGATGACCGGGTACAGTAAACGAAATTCTATTTAGTCCATCAGTTAGATGATCAAAAAATAATGGACACGTATTTTTTCTTTGGGCAATCAACCAAAAAATGACAAAGTTATAGCACGTCAAAGTTTGGGAGTAGGGGCTCGTGACGTCACTTTTGAGTGAATTTTCACTAATAAGTGTACTCAAACGTGACGTCACGAGCCCCTACTCCCAAACTTTGACGCGCTATAACTTTGTCATTTTTTGGTTTGTTTGCCCAAAGAAAAAATACGTGTCCATTATTTTTTGATAATCTACCTGATAAACGAAGAAAAAAAATAGTCATCATCCCTATTAAAGTAAACCTTCACTATGACAGATTGGCATACGTCCGTCAATCAGGAGATTGACAGATATTTTTGCATCACTTAATGGACTCATGTAGTTTTCCAATGTCCAGAACATTGGTAAATAATTATGTTTTGAATATAAAACTGACACTTTTAAGCCTAAAACATAATACTTATTACGGCTTGCAAATTGAATTATGTTTTAGTTTAATTATGTAATCAATCATTTAAAAGTTTTTAGTTATTCAACAAATCAAATTTAAAAAACACCTTAACAGACAGGGCATTTGTAAATAACCACACGTCGCCTTGTATAATAGTAACATTCGTGTTTCGGTTAAATTAAATCAAATCATATTAGGTATATATTCAAAGAGAATCATTAAAGGTCTGCGTAAAGTTTGCAAATTATAATACCATAAAATTGTTACTTCAGAATTGTTTAAAAATCAAAATTGTGATTTAGTTTATTTACTTCTATATAAGTTTCAGTAAAGAGAATAATGGTGCTTAACTTTAAGAAAACGGATTTATTGTGGTTTATTACCCTGATTGCCTTAAAATGTGTAAAGTTACAGAAATTTTACACGGTTCACGGGAGCTACGCAAAACAATTTAACGAGCTTCGAGCTATCGTGTTTAAAGTAACCCGATACAAACTTCCCCATTTAGGTACTCGTCCATTTAGTAATTAGTTTTCAATATTCACTTATCAAAAACTACTCAAATTAACACAGCTTACTTAAATCAACTATACAAAAAGTTCCAACGTACGTGATATTTTAAAATTAGCACTATTATAACCTACATAGGTACTTGAAACACTTCATTTGATAATATTTACACGCTAATGTCGGTTTTTTACTTTTAGTCTTTTGTAACTAATTTATTGTTATATTCACATTTATTATAATTTTATCAATACGTTCACAAGAACCTACAATTCCTTCAATACAAATCCGAAGGTGGGAATAAAGTAATAGTTAGTAAAGAATGCTTTATTCTGAATCAATAATTGTATCTTTAAGTTTTACACACTTTCCTTTTATTACAAACACTGTATAAACGCGCTGCAATGGGCGTACTTATTGATACATTCCATGATAAGACTACTGCAATAAATAGTCTGGAATATAAACCTCTTTAAAATAACGAGTTTAAGATATTATTATTAAATATCTTCAACAAAAAGCTCAATTATCGAGGCAGTTTGAAATTATGTCATCCTTGAAATACGTTTAATTTTTTATAGAATTTTATATTTTATACATACTATTAATGTATTCCTGCATCTTCGAATATGGAATGGACTGAGCAGAACATTTTCTTTCTTTTTTATTGCAGAGAAATAAAAGGGCATACACGCACTGTTTGAGTGAATAATATTTACATTTACATAATTTTATAATAATCGATATTTATATACACATTTTATTAATAAACTACATTTAAAATCACAACTTAGTCCTCTTGTTCACTACAACCTCAACGGATTCTAGATACCCTCATACAGATATCTCTTGTATTTGGACACGCTTCTTCATAATACCTGGTGGCGCGGGCGTAGTGGCCGCTGGAGGTACCCTTAGGATACCAGAACCACTCGCGCCACCAGATTCTGACTCACCGTTTGACTCTGACGCAGCCTCCGAATCCGGCACTGGTCCGAACTTGACCTGCGTCGAACAATCCACTACGCGCGGCTCAAACGTGCTAGTTCTCCCCACGGAATCCTGCCGACCCTCCACCTTCTGAATGTCCGGTTTTTGGGTATCTATGCACACTACACTCCCGGCGTCTATAGCACTACCTACACTCACATCGGGCAACGAACTTCGCGCCGCCCGATGCTTCTCGTCGTAACAACTGTATTCGCCGAATGTCGGTTCCCCGCAATCCGACAACGTCCGCAAGTCAAATTTTGAACCGGAGCCCCGGGGCACATGCGCCGATTTACACTCGAAACCGAAACCTTTGCCGTCGAAAGCGCGCACTTCATAGTCTAGTTTACCATCGTAGTTGTCGGATGACGATGAGCTCTCGGCGTCCCCGAGATCGTCTTTGGAGCGTCGAGGCCTGGAGCCCCGTTGGTGGTATATCCCAGCAAATATGAGTACATTTAGAAGTAGAAGGAAACAGCCAACAGCTATAGTGACGGTAAGAGCTGCTGTGTATGATTGATAGTGGGAGGATGCAAGGCGTCGAAGCAACGCGTCGTCGGGTTGAACCGGTGTGGCTGTAGCATTTGGTGGACATTCCGTGGACGGAACGGGCGGGACTGCTGAAGGCCTTGGAGGAGACTTGGGTGAAAGCGTACTTCGTGAATCACCACCACGATTGCTGTCCACATTAACAACATGAGGCACGTGGGCTTTTGACATTGACTGTGGTCTTACAGCACCTGTTAACACAAAAGGTTGTAATGTAAAGAAGTCGACATTTATATTATAAAGTATAGCTATTTAAAAACTCTTTATTGTCACCTTCATAGTAACTAGCATTATCTTCTTGGAAGTGGTGATGCCTCATGCCAGTGTCTGGCATGTCCGCGCCAGGCCGGTGCAGCTGTGGTATCAGGGAGAGCCACAAGGACATTTTATGGCCACGATAATGGCTACGCATCTCCGGTTTACTACCTGTTCACACAATATTAAATTTGTCTTAGCAATGGTTGAATTACGTTTTCGACGAATCAAACTTATCTTACACTATTATTGGCAATATCCAGTAAAAGATAACCTAATCATAAAGATACTAAACGACCGCTCTATAACATTTACAACCTAAGCTTTCAAGTTAATACATTAAGGTATGTATATTATATTTAACAAACTAAGCACTGGTAATCTCTGTTGGTTACTGTACCGGAGATTTGAAAACGGCCAGTTATGGAACGATAAGATAATTTATTTACTTAGGCTAAGTTAATCTATTCAAACTTTATCGAGTTTATTATTGCTGTTTGGGTCAAAACTAGAAATAAACCGAAATTATATAATTAGAAACTGCGTGAGTGCACATTTTGCGGTCGTGGTAACGGTTTCGTTTACTACCTACCTTCTATCCAAAAGCAAATTGAAACAAATGAACAAAACAAATCCCACACGAATGTGTATACTTGTGACCCTAAACTTTCGACGAATTGTACTGGTTTGAGCTCTAGAAAGTAATTACCTACCTGCTAAAATGATTTCTAAAATAAATATAGATTATTTAAAAAGAAATCGAAGTTTCAGTTGAAAGTTACGCCATTTTATAGAAATAGAAACTAAATCACACTGAAACTTTATGAAAAAAAACACTTTAAACAAGTATTTGTCTAGTAGTTTCAGCTAATCCAGTCACAAGACTGGAATACTTTATTTTTATATCCCAAACATCAAGAATAATTAAAAAAACAACCAATCGCGCTTCATATCCATTTATAAGTTATTTTTTATTAATAATAATGAGTGTGCTTCAATTATACATGATACAAGTATTTCACTGTAAAATTACAGTATCATATATAGTATAGTTAAGAGCCCTTTTACAATATTGCGCCGCTGCCGTACTGGTCGGCGCGTAGGTAGATTTGCACTAGTATATATTGCATTTTATGGGTGATGTTTCGAGTCTTATAAAATAATTATTAATGAACTAATTAAGAAAATATATACATATTTCAGTAGTTCAATGACGGTCCATTACTTTTATGAAAGTTTTTGATAGTAATTCTATTTAATTCAATATCAAAATACGAAGTAAACCTGCATTGTTTTTTGGGAAAACTCACGGAGGTTAGATGTTTTTATTTGTTATTAATGAGATAGAAAATCAAAATTGTAATACATTAAGTTACAACAAAATTTTATTTTCTATTGCAAAAGGATATAATATATGTAATAGAATTTGATATCTGCAACACATCCTCGCTACTCCAATAAGGTAGGTTCGCCGAAGATCGGATGTGGCCTAAGATCGGATGAATAGAATTTACCGCGAACGAAACGATATTTATCACAGAAGACAACGTAGTTTGGACCACCATTTAATTCTGCCCTTCCCCTCATACATAGCGTTACACAAAGCAGAACGCATGTAATAAAGCTCGAATAAGGTGCATTTTTGAACATGATGCCAACTTAAGACTGGATACTTTTTTGTATGCACACTTATACCGCAGAAACAGAGGAATGAAACTAAGCAGTAGCAGCAGTCCTTACTTTAGCTTGACACGGGTTTTGAATGGTACCTGGTCAAAAAAAAACGACGGGGTGCAACCCGGGAGTGTCGGTAGAAGTGAAAACTTGAATATTAACGTTGTGCATTTTTGTTTTTTTAGAATGGTTAGGGAATAACTTTGCACGAATTGCTTTAATTATCAGTATAAAAGTACTATCATTTATGTGGTAAAATACAATATTTATTTATTGCGTTATCGTACACAAACATGACAATTTATATTACATTAAAAAGTTTATCTCTCAGAAAAATCAACTTACATGAATCACATTTCAGCGCACCTAGCGATATCTTTTGTAAAAAAATGCATTTTCTTCGCAATAAAGCTGCCACCTGGACATCCTAGATAGAGACTTATTATTATAATACGATAAAATAAAATATTACTATGTTTCGTCCAATATATTGGAAGTCTACAACCTATCCAATTTTATTGTTTTCGTCTAACGAATTTTCGATTAGGTCACGTGTCCTGATGCGAGTTTAACATTTTTTACCCATACAAAAAAAGTGTACAACGCCGCTAAAGAAGTTTTCACTTCAAAAATATAACGTCACTGAAGGTGTATGTGATTAGATGGATTGGATGTAGGTAGGTGACCAGATTGTTCTTTTCGTTGCTTAAAGTATTTTTTATTTGAAAATATATTTGTATAAATGTAAAAACTAAATATTTTACAACACAGTCATAACTCAACTCAAAAGCGTCCGATCTTAGGCGATCCCACCTTACCATACAGTATTTACTCACTGATCTCCATAAACAGCTGGTTGATGGTATCATATGTATCCCAGTAGCGGATTTCGTCTGGGCCGATATGTGGTGTTTCACCGTGCAAAGGTGGCGGTGGCGTCGCAGTGGGATCGTTTGGGTTTCTGATGCAAATTAAAAAACAAAATGAAATTTGATTTACTATTCAAAATCTCAAGATTAATAACACCTCCATGCTTGTTTCAGAATAATTCAAGTTGAAAACAATAAATGTTTTGTTTAAGACGGCAGTTGTATATGGCGTCTTATCTATCCGAAATAGATCATAAAGGTTGTATGTAGCTGATATGTCTTATCAACTAGTAAAGCATCGTCACCGTATCAACTCGAGCCGCTCAGTATTGTTGCATAGAACTCCCTACTGCAATGCAAACTAATACTCGTAACTAATAAACAAATTGTACTTAACGTAATTATACGGGACACGAACCTGTCCCGCGGCGAGGTTTCCCACAAAGTGACATACTGTGGTGAAATACTGTTGATACGGTGACGATCCCTTCCCGAAATGACATGTCTTTTAAGATCTTTAGACTTGATTGTTCATTACATTATACACTTAGAAATAATATAGCCCTGGAATCTGTTTTCAAATTGTAGTTAAAAGATGATATTTGCAAACTATTTCCTAATTTTGGATTTCAAAATAAGTATCACTCATTATGAAAATTGCAGTAGTAATTAAAACAATTTCCAATTGAAACTGTTGTTCAAATAAGCAAATGTCATTTCAATTAATCAACTGGTTGTCTATCTATTTACAAAGTTTAAATAAAGCATTAATAAATGATAAAGGCACACAGGTTTTTAAATTAAAAGATATAAAAATTGGGGGATGTTTCGAAGCTAAATATTAGTAACATTTTTTTTACGTTTTTTTGTGATTGATTAGCGACGTCATTGTAAACCACAGTAAAATGTTTAAGTATATGAATAGAAAAATCTTTATTCTCGTCTTCAATGCTTTATTACCTAAATAAAACAAATGAACTGATTTATTATAAGTGGATAAAAGAAAAGAAAAAATGCTTACCCATATTTAACGAAGTTGGAAATGTAATGGATGCAAAGTCTTGAGACACGCTGCTCTTGCGCCGTGAAGTTTTGCAGGTGATGCGACTGCGACAACGGAACGCCCAAGTAGTACGGCAACTCCTCGCCATGTACTGATCCCGGCCGCTGTGATAATAACAGGTATATTGTCAGAGCAAAAGTAAGGCAGCATGAGAATGATAAAACAAAATTAGTACAAACATCACTCTATAGTTAAATCTCAGAACGAAACCATATACCTAGCGATATTGTAGTGGCATAAACAGTGACAGGTCAACAGCCTTGCCAACAATATTTTCCGATTATGCTATGCTAGCTGATAGGTTACTACCTAACAACATTGTTTGGGTCTAAAGGGTTCAGATACACCTAATCCGCTATCGAACTATGCTCGGGCGTTATCGGCTGTTTATAACAAACGAATGTAGGTATGAATTCGGGTAGGCAGATATTGTCCGGAAACATTAGTGATAGGTTGCCTGTTCGTTTCCGAATATGCCCAATGTTTCCGAATATGCCCTGTTCTTTGATAATAATTTATAATTTTCGTTCTACTATTCCAGCATGGGAAATATAACATGGAAAAAATCCACCAGGAAATTGCACGGGAAATTTATTGAATTAAGTTACAACTTACTGTTTTTTTATTCTTTTTTTTTAAAGGGGTCTGTCTATTATAGACCATGTCACCCTTATCGTTCAACCTTCTATCGTCTTCTTATACAGATTGATACAATTTTATACAAAACCTTACTTATTTTGGAAAAGGGACTAGACAGTATGCTATTATCCCAACTATACCAACATCCATTACTGTAAGCTCCGGGAATTGGTTAAAAAGGTGGTATCTTTCCGCTGCAACCCTCGTACATTCTACTATTACTACTTACTGTTATAGAAATTAGAACCCGATTTGCAGCAATTTCGACCCTTACAACCCATATAATGAAGACGACCTCCACGGCCAAGTGGTTTATACGCCGAGTTTCATGGTGTCGCCGACTCGTGAGGTCCCGGTTTCGAATCCCGGTGGGGGCAGAGGTTTGTTTTATGAATTACGAGCATTTGTACTCCAGTCATGGATGTTAACTATGTATTTATATATAAATATACTTATTTATGCACAATTTATGTATTCTATCCGTTACCTTGGTATCCCATAACACAAACCTTGCAGTGCTTACTTACAGACTAGGCTAATTGGTGTAAGTGTTGGATTTTATTTTATTTTTATTTGTATAAATTTGAAAAATAATGATTAATTTTATTTATCACCTGAAAATATCAGCTTTTTATTAATTTCCAAGATGGTCTACAATTATTATTTAATAAAATCAGTTTTAGTCGTCCACATTTTTGATAAACAGTGTCATAACTCACTTTATTTTAGGCTCAAAAAATCAGCAACTCTTACACTGTCAACCAATGCAGTTCGTAAAAGATAATGGTCGTTAAATGGCAACATGGCTACATACAACCAATTATGGATGTTGTAGTCGAGTGACGTTAATTGCCGGATCCCACAATTCGACGCGTTGATCCATCCATCAGCCATCGTTCAACACGTTTGATCCTAGCTAAAAGGACTCGATTTATGGCTTTGAAGAAATTCAACGTATTTACATAAAGGAAAATGTGAGCGTTGAGTTCTAAACTATAATATGCCGCATTATTTTGAAATAAATCAAGGAAAATAAAAATAAAATGCTTTTATTTCATGACATGGTCTCATATAAGTTAGTAACAAGTTTCTTAACCTATATTAGTATTTTATAACAATTTAAATTTCAATCATCATTCTATAAATAAAAAGTTAAAATAAATAATTAAAAAACAATTAAAGAGAAAATGCCACGATTTTTTTTTACACATAAAAGAATATTTTGAATGAGAATCTCAAATCCCTCAATCCTTTTCAACCAATTGTCAACTAAAAAGGCTTCTAATAATAACAGCAAACTTCTACTTTCCCAATGATCAAAGCAATGGTAGGTATGATTTAAAACAATTGAATCAAAATTTTCAATGCAGCCAGAAATACTTATTATGTCGAATCAAAGCGGAGTTGATTGTCTGTTCATTAAACTCAAACCACTTTGATTGTTGTGAAATTAAATATTATAACTCCCTGTCAAAATTTTCAATGAAGTTTAATTATCCAACTGAAACAACAACCAACGAACGGCATTAGCCGTTCTCATAAATCAAGTTTTCTGAATATTCAAATATCTCCCTTCATATAGGAGATTTATAATCATTTGACAACTTCAATCCCGGGAAAATCCTTATCTTGAGATCGGGATTAATACTCGAGAATAATCCTTTAAGACCCGGGATAGAAAATACAGTGTCTAAATCAATGTCCTACTTACAGGAGGAGAATAAATCTTACCAGTTACGACACTGTCACACTTTATTGTAATGAAAAGGGTTAAAAGAAAACTGAATTCATTTTTCGTTGACATTTTAAATGAATATTATACTTGAGAATAGTTATTATATAAAACTCAAACAGTTATTTTGTCTCATAGTGTTTTACAGATCTATTTGAATTATAATAAAGCTTTTTTGTCCGAATATTAACAATCAATATTTTTTTAATACCGCATAGTTTTTATTTGAGCTCACCAATGTAAGCTCTCTTTAACAGATAATTTGATTTATATTTGGCACACATGAAAAGCGTTGTTTATAGAGTCTGTGCGAAAAGAGAATGGGCGTGGCAAAAAACGGAACTAACATTAAGGTTTTTATTTGGCAATCAAACCCAGCAATCTGTAAAACGTCAAAGTTTTGTATTGATACGGATTTGTTTGTTGTTGTGATTTCTTGCGGTTTTTTGTATTTAATCATGTCTAAAAGGGGTAAAACCTTACAAATACGGTAGAAAAGCACTACAGCGCCCTCCAATCTAAATCCCATTCTCTTTCCGCACAGACTCTACAATAGGTATCTAAAATACCAGTTATCACTGATCTTTTTCACAACACTCACGTGTGAATCAAAACATCCAAAGAAATATATTCCGAAGTTAAAAAAGACAATGCAATGTTTTTTCCAGTGGATGCAGAAATAGATGCGTTTACAATGAAAATAAAATCTTTCTCAAACAAACACCTAGAAAATATACAGGGTATAGTGTTTAACAGTCTATATATGTATATTTGTTCCTTTGTGGCACACTAGAGACCAAACGCCTGGACCGATTTTGATGATTCATACATCAATCGATTCGCCTCAATCATGGAAGTGCTACTAAAGATGTGATAGTAATCAAAATTCAATAACGGGACAATTAGGCGCCATATTATTATCATCATTTATATTATATAAAAATAAGTTGACGAAATATGTCGAGCGGGGTATCATTGTCTAGATAATCAAAAATCATGATTAGTTTCATACACCAGTTTTCATTTTATGTGACTGCTTAGGATCTACAACGATTAATAGTTGTATATTAACCACTTATGCTTTTAATTTCAATCTTACGTTTGTATGGATCTTTGTTACTCTTTCACCTAAAAATTACTGAATGGATTTTAATGAAACTTTACAATAATATAGCTCATACATGTTTATAACATGCAGATAACAATTTATGTAGTCATTGAGTGAATTGGCCAAAATATAACAATAAGTGTCACGTAAGACGGAAAAAAATCTTACATCTTACATCGAGCCGAGCCATTTTGGCCTGCACTTCAAAGACAATAAAAGTTACACGAATTTAATGTACAGTGAAAATGTATCTCTTAAATAGTTCTACAAGAAAATCCGCGACACCATATATCTATTTTTAATATGCAAGCCATTATCGCTAAAATAGTGAATCTAAAATTAAGTATAAATTTATGTCCATTTCCAAAATGCACATTTTGTATAAACAATTTTTTTTAATGAAAACAAATACTTTTATCGCTTTTGATATTTAAAGACGATAAACTTTGCCTTTTACACTATGTCATTTCGACAAATATTTAAAAAGTTACAACAATGAAAAAGTGATAGCACGAAGTACTATACTATACTATCTATCTATAATATTATATTATACTTACTAGTGATCCACCCCGGCAGTGCACGGGCGAAATTAATGTTAACGGTATAAAATGTAGCCTATGTTACTCGGCTAAAATGTAGTTATAAAAAAATACTAGAAAAATTTCCTCTCGGCGAAGTTGTCAGTGTATTTTTTTCTTTAGATTTATAAATCGAGCAGATTAATCAACGATATTGAGATTAATCCTTGAAAATATAATAATAATAAATGTAGCCACCTTATGATGAATGAATTTTCGAAATCGGTTCAGTAGTTTGACAGATTATTTTTTTACAAACATGCAACTCTTGCCTCTTTATAATATTAGTATAGATAGTTAGGATAATAATATATAATTGATGAAAAAGATTTAAAAATAAAGTAAGTAATAGGTTTATTTGATTATATTTGGAATAATGATTTAGCATTTTTGGTAAACAGGGATTCGTTATTCGGTAATTTATACATACTTATTCTTATATATGACTTATATATTATAAACTTTGCTTTGGTGATTGCATAATTATTTAATTTAGCGATCTAAGGCAGTTGCCACGAGTGTTCCAAAACAACAGACGGGAATTGTTGCTTTCGTCAACCTGTGCCATTAACGTCATTGATTGGTATTGTATCTCTATATCACCCTCTGGTGATCAACAATATTTGAAGTTAACCTCTGGCGTCTACATATTTGGTTTCTGTGAATTATGTAGGTATATCAAATTAAGAGACTAGGATATGACACTGTATTTGTGTCAATCATAATCTTAGAGCCGGACGTTGACATTACACTGCAGCCACTGCCAATTTTAGATAGTCGACGCATAAAAGTAAATGAATTTCAATTTATTTCTAAACAACTAAATAGAACATAAGGAAAAGATGACTTGTTGAATCAGTAATAGTTAACTATAAAATTTACATTTATTAGATATATAGGTAACGACTTGATTTAACTTAACACATTTTTGCGAAAATTGAGGCCCATCTGTAGCCTTGACCCTACTGGTACTTTATGGCTTAATAAATCAATCGTATAGACCACCGCAAGGTACTTAATAATTCCCGCGATATTAATTTACTTACTGAAGTGACAAGACTGTGGTATATGCCGTCTTATAATTCTAACTAAAAAGTGTGAAATAAAAAAGATAAATTTAAAAAATCAAAAAACCCCACTGCTAAAATTGTACTTGAAATAAAAACTGAAAATAAAAAAACAAGTCCAGTAGATAGTAGATATTCAAATCTAATGGGTCCCGACTGTTAAAGTAGCATTGTTCCTTACTTAACAGATAATTGTAATTATACAATTTATCACCAAATATTTCAGTATTTTTATATTCATTAACTTTACTGTTATATTATTTATTATAATGCTTGTTTAGGTATGTCGATTATACCGCTAATCGTCTAATAAATATGATTATGATTCATCAAACGTGAAAATTAAATTGAAAAATAACTCGACAGCGTTTAAATATTACTAAAGGCCTCTGCTTATATGACTTTGGAAGATTTATGCATTAAATCATTTTCCAAATTTAGTTGGGTTAAATTTCAGAAAAATAATCAAGGATCCATTCTTTTCTCTATACAACTCTGCCCAATTTTGTACCTCAAATATTCTATCATGCATTTATATGTAGATACATATAGATAAAGATAAATACGACAAGTTCATCAAAAATATAAATGGAATTTATTATTTAGATTACATTTCATTTAATTTATAATAAATACAATTTATATATTTCAATTACACACATTATGGAATCCAAACATCATTGATTGAATCCTAAAAATTATACATACTTACTAACATAGCATTTAAGTTAAATATTGTTACTAACGATGTAATGAACCATTTTGTTGTTTATAATAAACAATTTTGAATTGAATTATCCACTTGTACCATATCAAAAGGTAATTCAAACATTTAAATTATTGTCAACACAGATAATATATTATGGCAAATGGACATCTCTAGAGTCAATAACAATCAGCTACGGAATTCACGTAAGTTTTGATACAACCAATCACAATCAAGGAAATGAATTTAAACCAATAGCATGAGCTGTCACCTGTCACTCAATGACAAATTGTATCTAAATAATAACGTTTTTTTTATACGCAGATCCCCTATTTGAATTCATAATTTCAGCAATTTTTAATTAATTTGTTTGAGATTTTGATGAGTGAGTCTTTATAAGTATATTTTAGATGTTTTTTGAGATAATTTGTACCAAGGTACCAAATTAGGCAAAATACTAAGTTTAGATTTTAAAACTGCAAAATTATGAGTATTAAAATATCACTTCCCTAAAAAACTCTTACAACAATTTGCTATAAAGAAATCCTATCGCAGATGATAAGTGAAAGTGAAAATATGAAAAAATACACATAAAATCTCTGTTGAGTCAGTCACCCTCATCTTTAAATCTTGCAAGGTGTTCTATGAAGGCTCTAATAAGAAGGGTGCACCAAGCAGAAAATTACAAATCTCAGACATCATAACACGATACATCAGAGAAACGATCGCAAGTAATCCGTTGACTCACTCACCTGAGGATAATCCTTATCTTGTGACAGGTGGTGGAAATGAGTGAAGTAAGTGGTGCCACCACGCAAGGCATGGAGGTACCCAAGTCTTATTAAGGGTGCTGCGGTCCGACCATCGCTTAGTATCTGTTGAAAAAATGAAGTACAATGTTTATTAAGTTATATAATATAACGGTCCATGTTTCCTATATATCGTATACAGGTGCTTATTAAATTCAAAACATCTTTAAGAAATTCAATGCTGTATTAGTAGTATCAGTATCACTTCATATAAAAATAATAAAAATCTTTATGATAGTTATATTCATATGATACTCGTAGATGCTCCATTTTTGTCATAGACGTGGAATTATACAATTACTAGTGGGTGTCCGCGCTTTCGTCTGCGTGGAAATATTAGTTTTCCATACAAACTTTGAAACCCCGTTTTACCCCTTTAAGTGGTAAATTATGGACGCCTAAATCATTCTTATGATGATGATTCTCTTGCTATATGTGTACCAAATTGCAGCGCAATCTGTTCAGTGATTTAGGCTGTGCGTTGATAGATTAGTCAGGCAGTAACGATTGCTTTTTATAATACAGATTATAAAATGGCTAAACAGATTTATATATCGCACAAAAAAGCGTGCCCGTATAATACAGAAGATAGTTTTATCACAAATGTTGTTATCTTAGTACTAAATTCTTTTTAATGAAGTTGCCAGCGAAATCTATATATACTTACCCAGAATTCATACATTTTTAACCTACTATATTGACACATATAACTAAATCTCAGAGAATATCACTCCGAGTTTAGTATCGGTGCTCGAAGAACGTAGTTCTATCGTAGATACTCGGTAATTTTAACAAATTTGTAAGCTCAATTGAGATATTATATCTACGATGTGATTTTAATAGAGATGGAAGGTACACGGCTGATATAGAAAAAAATATCTATAGTTGCAGGAAATAGAGAGAATTATGCATTCGGAAAACGTTTTCGGGAAGAATAGAAGAAGAAGAAGATGTTATCCCAACCGCAGATTACTTAATCGTTACTTGTCTCAACGCTAATATACGAAGACGAGATCAGGATGTATCAGATAGAGCACGAAAGTAAAAATAATGTGAGTGCTACGTAGTATTTGCGTGGTAACACTTGCAGACTGAGTTCCTAATGTGGAACTACGAAAAAGAGTCGGTTTGACTGTCAGTATCGTAAGTAAAATCATCAGAGGCATGTTTCGGTGCTTCGGACTTCGGAAAGGAATGAACGTAGGAGATGTCAACGCCGTAAGAACCAGTGGCCTATATGAAAATAGTTTTAAATGCAGACGACCGCATCTTGTGGCACTCCCCAATGACAACGGCTAATTAGAGCCGAGGTTCGAGTTTCAGAGGCGTCCTCTAGTTGAGCCGACCCCAGATTTTCAGATTCGAGTGGTCTAGAGGAAACTCCCCGTGGGGAGATGCCATCCGCCTGAAATACCTCTTGATGCACTCGCCAATTCTCCGCTTGAGTTCCCCTTAAGATCCCGCCGTCCCCAAACCCGGTGACGCTGTAAAAGTCATCTGCGACAAACAGCATACACACTAAACATAAAATTGTGGCACTCTGTTCTTTCTACCCACCTACCCCACCCGGGGCACGTCGTTAGGATATTTAGTGTGTGTATTGGCTTTTTCTTATATTTTAGGTTTTGGCTTTATGCTTACATTTTGTACAATACAGCGGTAGTATAGTTTCTATTATCCATTCAGATCAATAAAAAATCAAACGGAAAAGCTTTTTTACTCGTAGGCATGTACCAAATATTTTTTTAGTCCAAAACTATTACTTGGTGGGGCGCAAAGTTCACAACACCACTTTTTAAATACGTATTTAAATCTAATTTTATCATTAAAGAAAAACTAGAGGATAGTTAGATACTTCCTAACCCCACATAGCATAGTCCTTTGTCTGTTTTCACCGATAAGAACAAAAGGGATCAAAGAAAAGTTGTGATTTTGAAAGCTCATTAAATCGGCCTTTTCTAGAACTAAGATATTTAAGCCTTACAAAATAACTTGTTCTAAATTCTACGGCTTTGAGCTACAATTGAATTTATTGTAATTAAATGGTAGGTACTTTCGTAAATTTATTGTAAAACAGAATCTCAATCAAGTTACCAAGACACTAATTGCATTGTACAGCGTTTCCTTCGCAACGAATTAACTTTTACGGTTAAAATTTTGTGCCTAAATGTTCTGAGAAAATTAATTTAACTTATTAGTAAATTAATTTAATAATGTACACATTTTATCTGGTATTCAATTATAAAATATTAATTTCTTTACTATGAAGACACGACTTTGCATTAGCACAAGTCTCTGAAAGATGACCTTCAATTTCATGTCACCCTCATCGTCATCTCACATAGTTTTTAATGCCTTGGAGTAAAGCGGCAAAATGAAGGACAAGATACCTCGATTATTATAGATTTAAGGAATGCAGGCTTTGATTAGTGTCATCTATTGATTTCAAAGGAATGGAACGAGAAGCGTCTTCACGTATTTTAAAAAGGGGGTAGAACCTAGTCTTAAAATAAAATCTACTTATCCATTGACCGACCTTACAGAAAGTGCGCAACTCACTGAAAAATCACAAGTTCTCCCGCACTTAATAAATTATTTTCTTTCCAATATGAAAGCTGGAGCTGGAAGTGCAGTTTCCTGTCTACAGCAGTTTGTTTTATCTCCACCATGGCCGGCAATTATATTTTCAACGAAATGTTGAAATAGGTATTTCCAAGCATTACAGTTGTATGCACGATTTAGATGAAAGAACGATATCCTCTTATATGTAGATAATTTCGACCAACAGTTTAACTAAGTATGTTAAGAAAAATCTATCTTGTAAAATATTTAATTTTTGTTCTATTTCTGCAGATTGTTTTCTATAAACTAGGTACATATTACTTTTACGTCGAAACATTGGCAATATATTTTAATTACCAATTTATAGAATCGAAAATAAATAAAATATTTAAAAAAGCAATTAGCAAGGTATCATGTCACAACTATACTCTATTCAACTTCCTCTGAGACATAAGGTAAACAAACTTTTAAAAGGTTTTTCAATATGTCGAATTTTATACAGACATAAAATCATAATTAAAAATGGAAATTAAAAAAATCTTTAACTGTAGCTACTCCCTAACTTTGAATGCATTAAAATACCACAAAATTTAAGAGTTGTGATAAAGCAAATAACTTACGTAGAAATGTGAAATTTTGTAATCAGCCTGGTTACACCGCGGTGTCCATGTCTATTCTGGATAAAAAAAGTTTTAGAAAAAATGGTTTATTTGTTTACCTTTTGTCTCAGAGGAAGTTGAATAGGGTATAGAAACAAAACTGGAAAACGTTATTTTGCTATTTCGTTAACAAATAACATGATAATAATAAATAATATATATTTCCAACACTCACACCAATTAGCCTAGCCCCAAAGTAAGCACTGTAAGTCTTGTGTTATGGGATGCTAGGTTAACGGATAGAAAACATAATAGTGTACCTACATATATAAGTATATTTATATAGAAATACATATTAAACATCCATGACTGGAGTACAAAAGCTCATATTCATCACACAAATATCTGCCCCCAGCGGGATTCGAAAATCCGGGAGTCGGTGACACCATGAAACCCGTCGTACAAAACACTCGGCCACGGAGGTCGTTAGACATGATAATAGAAAGGGCTATTTAACATTATGAAAAAAAAACACAATTATTGCCTGTATTTAATATGAATATTAGCAGTGACTTTACTTTTTTGAGAGAACGTTTTTTTTTGTTGTATGGTCAGTTAACCAAAACCGACTGGGATTGGTGAAGACTAAAATGACGCCACACGCTAGTAAACTTCTGATTCAAGAGACTTTACATTGTATCATTTGACGTTTTTATGACAGTCGTGTGACGCCATAATATTCACAGAAACGTTATCGCGGCAACTTGAAAATAGAATTTTTAGATTTAGTTTTTTTACTGAAATACACAATCTAAAGAAAATATAACTAGAAAAAATTCCACGCGGACCAGGCAGCAGACGGGACTCGAACCCGCACCCTTCGCAATCCGGGCGAATGCACTGACCAATTATGCTACCGCGGCCCTCACGGACCGCGTCGAAATTCCTTCTAGCTATTCTTAAGCTGCAAGGCAGCGCCATCTCTTCGCATTATAGGTAAACCCACAATGTCAAATGAATACTTTTACAAGTATTAAACATTTGAAAGAAGAAATAGCAATTATAGTTATAATTTTTATTATTTTTAAAGCATGTAACTGCTTGATGTTTAAATCTAAAGAAAATATAACTAGAAAAAAATCCACGCGGACCAGGCAGCAGACGGGACTCGAACCCGCACCCTTCGCAATCCGGGCGAATGCACTGACCAATTATGCTACCGCGGCCCTCACGGACCGCGTCGAAATTCCTTCTAGCTATTCTTAAGCTGCAAGGCAGCGCCATCTCTTCGCATTATAGGTAAACCCACAATGTCAAATGAATACTTTTACAAGTATTAAACATTTGAAAGAAGAAATAGCAATTATAGTTATAATTTTTATTATTTTTAAAGCATGTAACTGCTTGATGTTTAAATCTAAAGAAAATATAACTAGAAAAACATGCTTTAAAAATAATAAAAATTATAACTATAATTGCTATTTCTTCTTTCAAATGTTTAATACTTGTAAAAGTATTCATTTGACATTGTGGGTTTACCTATAATGCGAAGAGATGGCGCTGCCTTGCAGCTTAAGAATAGCTAGAAGGAATTTCGACGCGGTCCGTGAGGGCCGCGGTAGCATAATTGGTCAGTGCATTCGCCCGGATTGCGAAGGGTGCGGGTTCGAGTCCCGTCTGCTGCCTGGTCCGCGTGGAATTTTTTCTAGTTATATTTTCTTTAGATTTAAACATCAAGCAGTTACATGCTTTAAAAATAATAAAAATTATAACTATAATTGCTATTTCTTCTTTCAAATGTTTAATACTTGTAAAAGTATTCATTTGACAGTGTGGGTTTACCTATAATGCGAAGAGATGGCGCTGCCTTGCAGCTTAAGAATAGCTAGAAGGAATTTCGACGCGGTCCGTGAGGGCCGCGGTAGCATAATTGGTCAGTGCATTCGCCCGGATTGCGAAGGGTGCGGGTTCGAGTCCCGTCTGCTGCCTGGTCCGCGTGGAATTTTTTCTAGTTATATTTTCTTTAGATTTAAACATCAAGCAGTTACATGCTTTAAAAATAATAAAAATTATAACTATAATTGCTATTTCTTCTTTCAAATGTTTAATACTTGTAAAAGTATTCATTTGACATTGTGGGTTTACCTATAATGCGAAGAGATGGCGCTGCCTTGCAGCTTAAGAATAGCTAGAAGGAATTTCGACGCGGTCCGTGAGGGCCGCGGTAGCATAATTGGTCAGTGCATTCGCCCGGATTGCGAAGGGTGCGGGTTCGAGTCCCGTCTGCTGCCTGGTCCGCGTGGAATTTTTTCTAGTTATATTTTCTTTAGATTTAAACATCAAGCAGTTACATGCTTTAAAAATAATAAAAATTATAACTATAATTGCTATTTCTTCTTTCAAATGTTTAATACTTGTAAAAGTATTCATTTGACATTGTGGGTTTACCTATAATGCGAAGAGATGGCGCTGCCTTGCAGCTTAAGAATAGCTAGAAGGAATTTCGACGCGGTCCGTGAGGGCCGCGGTAGCATAATTGGTCAGTGCATTCGCCCGGATTGCGAAGGGTGCGGGTTCGAGTCCCGTCTGCTGCCTGGTCCGCGTGGAATTTTTTCTAGTTATATTTTCTTTAGATTTAAACATCAAGCAGTTACATGCTTTAAAAATAATAAAAATTATAACTGAAATACACAATGTTAGTAAAAAGCTTGAGATTGAGAACTTTTTTAAAACTTGTCAAATAACCCATTAAGTTAATTGGAGCAAGAAGCATAGAGAATAACTCCAGACCTAAAGAATAACTCCATTTGTGTCACTGACCGACTTCCTATAGTAACTATTTCTAAATACGAAAATAGAGTACGAATATAGTCGAGTAGTCCCTGGTATGATCACATCATCAAGGTAAGCGCAAATTAAGAGCGCAGCGTCTCGAGTGGCTCGTAAACATTGATATCATTCTAATTCTAAGTGTGGGGATGCAAGTATTTTCTAATAAAGCCTTTCGACGCGCTCATCACATATTCAACGTGCGCTAGCGTCATTAACTCCCTTTGTAGGTCGCAAGAGCGTACGGTGAGTTGCGAAAACCACTCAACGCTTAAATTGAGATCGACCATGATAGAGCGCGCCGGTATCATATACTGTCTAGTCAGCTGACAGTTATCTTCATTCTATAATAGCCTGCGTAAAAGAGGAACTTTTGTCCGCGGAGGACAAAAGTCGCTGAATCGTGAAGAAAATGTCCGACGAGGACTTCTCACAGACTCAACGCACACGATGGGCGAATATTTATCCCCCAAAAATTTAGAAAAGCGCATGCTATGGAAGTAAGTATTCTCAGATTACGTTGTGGTGTAATTAACAGGGAGTTTAAGATAAATAAAAGATGTTTTAAAAGAGAATACTGGGTCCATTTCTTTAAATCGGATCGAACGCGCAACGCGGACTAAAGTTCGCTGTGTGCGTTGCTGCGCCTAGTCACCATGAGTTCTATTTTGTTTTTCGGGAACACCCGCGGACTTTTATACAGTCCAGTCTCTCGGTGTACCCGGTTGTTCGGGGCCTTTTGAATGTCTTAATTTTAATCCGTCGTGTGCGTTACTCGATCCAGGAGCTCTACTCTCTTTCTCCGAAACGAAATTTCGGCAACGAACGAATTTTAAACGAAATTTCGCCAGTGACTCTACTCTATTTCATCTTCGAACACGCACATAAAGTTTGAAATCACAGACAATTATCGTGAACGAATGGAATGAGTTATGTTTGTGAGTTCTTTTCGTCGTTTTTTACTTCAAAACGATATTACATTATGACAACATTTTTAATTACATTAAAACAACCTCTTTTGTAAGTGTAAGCCGACTAATTTGTAGAGTTTATGCAATCGAATTTATGTCAACCTAAATTTGTCGTGTAATACTTTGAAGTATTGGCAATACAATATTAAACAAAAATTAGATTTATTTGTAAATTTTTCATACTAAAAGATGTTCCTCACGCTAAGCAGCCTTAATTAAAAATACTCACTAGTAATTTTAGGTTTAATTTAAACAAAAAAACCCAAAACGAAAATGAAAAGGTAACACTTTTCATTTCGTCAAATTGAGGTTAAAATTTCGAACAATTATCTGTCAAATTCAACTTTTAGTTCAAAAGTTTTGTGAATTAGATTAGGCTTAGAGAAATTAAATGTCAAACTATTTTCGGACGAACGAATTTTCGAAATGAAATAGAAACAGAGTAAGGAACGTGCGAAATTACGATCGAAATTTCGTTTTTCGTTGAAATAGAGTAGGCCTCCAGTTTTAAACAATCTATTTTTACGGACAAAGGAGTCTGCGGACAATTATCCCTCGTCTGCGCAGGCCATAATAGTGCCCTAGAAACGGAGGAACTGAGGAAATTCCAGATGAAATAGAAGAACCTATTAATTGATTGAGGAGATTTTTTTATCTGTATATTTATAAGTAATCGAATATGCAAGTTAAATTTCAACTACTTACTTGGCAGTTTCCAATTGAGCTGAAATTTGGCATTTTTATTTAAATCAGATGACAATGTAAGATTATTGTAACATGGATCTTATCTAATAGTGAAATCGGAAAGTGATTACGTGAACACTGTTTTGGTATAATGCAACATCAACCTGTTTGGGCTTATTTGATTCGTCTTGACATGTACTCTGGATTGTTATTATGCAAAATGAACACTGGTAAGGTGACAACGTAAATTTTAAAAAATATATATAAGTCTAAAATGATTTTATTCCGATTGGAAATATTCCGTTCTCAAATAATTCTCAACTGTGAACGGTTCTCTACAAATAAAAGCGTGTTTGTGTAAGTTACACCCTTCCTGTTTCCTCGGTTTTAATGTTAAACCCTAGATATAGGGTAGGAGGAGCAAATAAAGAAGCTGTAAGATTTGTGCGCAATTTATTGCTATGTGGTACTTGCATAATATTATACGAGTATGTTTGTTGAAATCACCTACGAGAATAATATTGTGAAATAAGGGATGTAACACCTGAACATTGTAACTCATAAAACTTCCTAAGACACATCAAACTCGTACCAAGTTCTTAATGTGAAAAAAAATCGAATCAAATCGATTCGTAACCACGCCACATCATTATGACATTTCTGTGTTCTCCGTTAATGTGGAGCTATGTTTGATAAGCATGTGACGACGTAACCTTATCAACGCCACTTCCAATTTCACAAACTTGAGATGAAATAGGACATTCTTTCTTCAACAGGGCTATTATGTAAGAAAAAACTCACTTTTCACCGGTGAGATTTCTTTGTTTTTAATTCGTGTTCTAATTTTTTAAATCACACCGCGCATTCGTAGTGAAAAATGAGTTTGTTCTTACAGAATAGCACTGCAGTCTGCATCACTTAAAGCTCTGGAATGACTTAGGTTACAAATATTTAATTGACCATTTAATGTTATGGTTATGATGGGCAGTCATTTCCTTTGCTAATTAATAAAAAAATCAAGATAACAATAATATCTGTGTTTCAATATTTTCGTCATTTTTATTGACATTAAAGGAAGTAACGTATGGCAACTTTGATGCTCTGAAATTCTCAGACGCTGCATTTTTCCTAGCTACCGAGCAAACATCTTGATCAGAGCAAAGGTTTGCTCTTTTGTTAGTGTTCACTGAAAACAACTAGTATTTACTTCCTCTATGATAGCTGAACGAATATTTGTTCTGAACAAAAGCGTGTATGTTCGCACCGGTACAATGTTCGTCCGCATAGTTGCGTTTCCACTCGCTGAAGAAATTAACGATCATCATGGTCATTGATTTGCTTTTGGCTAATGCAGGGTTCCTAAAAATTTATGCTTTACTAAAACAACTTTAATGAAAAAGGTGATATTGGGTGTTTAGTTAGTTCACACCATGAGTGAGGTGAGAAAAAATGATATCTCCACTTCTTGTGTGTAGGAGAGATAGGTAACCTTAAATGTTTTTTATATACGAAAACTTGTTTTTACCACTATATCAAAGCATCGTTTATCAATATATTAATTTTTGTACTACCTGTTTTGTGGGCCCCACGGGCACGAATGGGTTCTATAATAATCAATTAATTGTAACGCTTTTCCTTGGAGAGGAACTCCATGATCACTAAAAGATCCATATTTGCAATATTTATTGCTGTGTGCCAACGAGCACAGAAAACACCGAGAGAATGCTCTTAGCAAGTATTCGTTCGCTCGCTCTGATATATTCATTTACCGAGCGAACAAATATTTGCTTGCTCAGATCTGTTCTGACTTAGTGAAAACGCAGCATTAATATGGAGGAAAATTGACGTAATAGGCGATTGTGATACAACTTGTACATTTAGAACAGAATAAGCCTCGAGGAATCAATTTGTAAGAGCAAAGCAACTTCAGTTTCAAATGTTTTTTCCGCTGCACAAACGCAAAGCTGCCTCGCGTCAATATAGCTTCCCTTGCAATACAAAGAATGTGTTCCGTAAAAGCTAACACTATTCTTTGAAAATAGTCCGACGGGTAGTTGAATCACTAAAAGTAGCAAGTTCGTCAAAGCAACTATGTTTTACCTCCAAAGTGGCGTCGCGTACACTCAGCGGGTTTTGTACTGGCTTGTCCCAATCTGTGTATTCGTTCTTCAGCGTTGAATAGATCTCGTTCAAATGGTAATAGTACGCGTTCCGCACGAAGGTTCTCAGAATGCGATCCCGCCTGCTCTCGTTGAAGCCGAACTCCAAATCTTGCGCGTTGAATTCCAGGTAAGATTCTGCAAGAAATGGCCCGGTCATTTGCATATTTTACAACCACCTATCTGCGTACACAAAATTTTCTAAAGGAGCGTAGCTTGAATGCTTCATGAGGGAGAATAAATGTTTATTCTTAGAGCGACCGCCATCAACAGCATCTGGACTAACGTCAATAAACGCTTGAGAAGAAAGACTTTTACCCGAGTTCTTATACTTTTTTATTTTTTTTAATACAGTCGTCACGTATTCTGACCGAGCTTTAAATAATTTCCGTAAGAGCGTGCGCACCGTTAAGCGGGACACGGAGAGGGCGTCCGCTCAGCGTGTTTGTTTCTTTTACCCGACACACACGGCGCGGGCGGTAGAGCCTATCTCGCGGGCGACGGTGCACGCTCGATTGCCGGTCTTCTGAGCTGTCCTCTGCGTTCTCTCTTAACAAGGTAGTATTATCAACAAAAATAATCCATTATCGACTGTTCATCCGTGTAATCGAAATTGTACTGGCGGCGCTCCAAGAGGCTCCTGCATCTCGTGGGTCCCGCGACGGGTTGAACGGATCCCGCGTTGGAGCACGGAGCGGATCTCCGCGACCGACGCCCGCTCCGTGTCCCGCTTTAGGGTGCACACGCCCTAAGACTTTAAAGAAATTTCCATAAAATTTACAAAATTCATGCTACCTATGTCGTGGTACCTATTAAGCTCAGCTAGACTGTGGTTGAAACCATTACCAAATTATGATCATATCCATTCAGAAAACTATGAAATTATATTGATTGTCATAAAAAAAAATCGTGTTTGCAAAACAAAGAAAATGTAAGAAAAAAAAACAATGTTTATTTTGTGTTTGAATATTGATATGATACAGAAACATAGCGTCATGTTTCATTGCGTTTCTCTTATTTAATACGACATTTTGTCCATTTTCTGTACCCTCCTCCTATGAAAAAAATATCGCTGCATTACTTTCAAACGCTTTATAATGTCTAAAGAATTAAAAGTACCCATATTCCGAATACCTTATTTTACAATTTTCATTAGGTATCAATTAAGTTTCGAAACTTTTCCAAAAAATAGTTTATAATCTAAGAACGAACAAAAAGGTATTTGCATATTTTTGAAAAAGGGCTTCTTTCTATCATGAAAATCATTTATTTCTTATTAATTTCAATATATAGACAACTCAAATTAAGTTTGGATTTTGCTTTTACCCCCCGGGCGATTAATAGTTCAATGCCCTTCCGGCGAGTCTATTGAGGTAGGTCTGGCGCCGGAGTACTTTTTAATTTTATTTCGACCTATCCATATTGCTTTAAAACACAATATCCCAACTTCCCTTTATATGTACCTTTTAAGTTTCTAGCTTTAATTTTGTATGGAACCCGTTATCTACAGAATTGGTGATCGAATTTTCAGCCATTATTTTTTATATAACAATTTGGCTTCTAATTTCAAGAAAATCATTGGGATATAGTTAGAAATTTCGATATATAGACAACCCAAAGTGAGTTTGGATTTTGCTTCAGCTCCCTTGCGATTATTAATCTTTCAATGCCCTTCCGGCGAGTCTATTCAGGTAGGTCTGGCGCCCGAGTACTTTTTTAATTTTATTTCGACCGAAAATATTGCATTAAAATATAATTTTGTCTTCCCCTTTAAATGCACCCTTTAAACTATTATTTTTATATGACAATTTGGCCAAAATCATATAATTTAAAACTGCCACCCTCCAGATGATAGGAAAAATAGCTTTCAAACGTGACACCAACATGTCACCTTAATAAAATATTATAATATTCAGAACAAAATTGAAAACTTAAATTAATCTTCGGTTACGTTGATAGTCACCTGTTGTAGTGAGGCCGAAGAGCAGTTCCCTGTGGGAGAAGTCTGCCAGTTCGTGGCCAGCCGCCGTTGCTACAGCTGCGGCGCCCGCACCTAGCCGCGAGCTGTCCGTAGGGGGCGGCGCCTGGATAAAAAAAATGGTGTGATTTTATGAATCCAGGATGCGAGTGCAACTTAAAATCATTAAAAAATGTCTTTCGGCTAGAAATCTAACCCGGGCCGCCCGCATAGCAGCTCACATCATTTTAGCCTAACCCCAAAGTAGCGAAGTAAAGCAAAGTAGCAATCTGTAAGACTTGTGTTATTTGATACTAGGGTAATGGATAGATGTACCTATATATAATATACCTTTTCTATAGGAAAAAAAAATAGCCATGACTTGATCACAAAATATGCTCATCATCATAGTAACACCACCCATCATGCTCATCATCATAGGACTTCTGAATAGGCGACACCTTGAAACTCGGCGTATATACACACATCAAAAGTGTCTAGGGATCAAGCATTTTTATGCGGATTTCTTGAGATTGAGATGTGGCTTTGTAATAAATTTATGATTTTATAAATTTATATGGATCCTTTTTGGTGCATTTCATAATTTGAATCAGGAACTGTGAATCAAATTCGAGTAAAAGATGAAAATCAGCTGTCAATATTTTCCCTATAAAAACATACAACGCATTGAAGACATTATTAGTGCTACTGTTTCCCTACTACTGATTAAAACCAACGTTATTATGGAGCGGCGACGTCATTTAAGCAGGGAAGAAATGCTCAGAGCCGTGGGAATGATAGAAGCTGGTTCCCGGCAACGTACTGTGGCTTTAGCTCTGAATACAAGTCAGAGTGTTATCAGTCGACTTTGGACACGATACCGAAGCACTGGTACCGTGGCTGAGCGCCATGGAGGACGGTATCGCTGCACCACACGGAGACAAGACCGATACATTCAAATCTTAACTCGAAGAGCTCCAACAATAACCGCCATGATGTTAGCCGTGAGGCTTCATCACTCTTCAGGGAACTTAATTAGCGACCAAACAGTCAGAAACCGCTTGCATGAAGTGAACCTTCATTCCCGAAGACCGCTACGGGTACCACCTATAGCAATGCACAATCGTAGGATTCGATATCAATGGGCTCTTGAACACAAAAATTGGGCAGAGAACAATGGCGTTTCGTGTGCTTTTCTGATGAGTCTCGTTTTGGTATGAGACCGGATACAAGACGTATACGACACTGGAGAACCCCTGGACGCCAACAGCGATTAAAATCCTGCCAGGAAGTCCATCCTTATAGTGGTGGAACCATCATGGTATGGGCGGGTATTTGGATCGGCGGAAGAACTGAGTTGATTTGGATCAGAGGCAACCTCAACGCTCAAATTTATGCTGAGACGATTGTATCAGACGTCATCGTTCCTCTACAAGTGCAAATCGGTCCCTTATTTCAGTTAATGCATGATAATGCACGACCGCACACCGCAAGAGTTGTAAGACAGACTCTCGCCGCAGCTAACATCAATGTCCTGCCCTGGCCTGCTCAGTCGCCAGACTTGAACCCGATTGAGCATGCATGGGATATGCTACAGAGAAGAGCTCTGCCGAATATGGAGGGTATCCAGTCGCAAGAAGACCTTTTTTTGTTGTTGCAACGAACATGGGCGGCCATTCCACAGCGTGATTTGGATGAACTCATTTTGAGTATGCCAAACCGATGTTCTTGTGTTATTAGTGTTCGCGGTAGAAATACGGATTATTAATTGTTTAAGTTACCCAATAAAATTTTAGAGAAAACTGTTATTTCAGTCTTTTTTTCGAACTTTTGTGTTAGTGGTTCAAATGTCAAAAATCCCTTTATTAGGAAAATGGCAAATTTCTTTATTAATGCAAAGGTGACTTGGTTTATCGTTACTGTGACAAACGAAAACACTTTATTTGATGAATCCTTAAAGAAAATTTTAATTAATATCAATCAGGAGAAAAGTTATTGCAAAAATATATGTTGATCCCTAGACACTTTTGATGTGTGTATATCACCCGCGCCACGGAGATCGAAGTCGTAATTAAGTAATGAAAACCTAGTGTTAGAGGGGTACTCTGAAAATCGATATGTCGTGGAATACGTCGCATACTACTATAAGTCTGCCAGTTCGTGGCCGACCTAAGTGGCGACGACCGCGGCGCCCGCACCTAGCAGCGACCTGTCCATCAGTGGCAGCGCCTGTATATGCAATCAACAATTTATATTTTTTGTAATAAAAACCCGTTAGTAATCGAGTATGACGGTGCTAGAGGAAACCACTTATATCGATTTATCGTGACAAACGTCGCATCGTAGTATCCTATTGACAATATCGCGTTGTAGCGTTGAACGATCGAACAATTATTAGTTTTGTCATAAAGCATGCAACGACGCTATCCCTACTCTGTTATCCGTCATTTGACAATTTTAGTTTTCTCTACATAAACCGTCACGTTTTCAAAAGGTATTTTGGAGTTCTGTACCCCTAGCACGAACGAATATCGAATTCGAATAGTTTACGAGTGCGATTTTTTCTTTTTTGTGTGTTTGCTGTTGGTTGCAGATGACCTTTACAGCGTCACCGGGTTTGGGGACGGCGAGATCCTAAGGGGACCTCAAGCGAAGAATAAGCGAGTTCCACAAGAGGTATTCCAGGCAGATGGCATCTCCCCACGGGGGGAGCCTCTAGACCACTCAAACCTGAAGAGGTCGGCTCAACTAAAGGGCGTCTCTGAGACTCGGACCTCGGTTTTAGCTAGCCGTTGTCGTGGGGGAGCTGGTATAGCGTGTCGTGTGAAGACTGGGTCTTCGCACTCTTATCCTACGGGTGCGGTGTCTGCCTAATGCTAAGCTAGTGTGCAAGTATGCTAGCTATGTAGTGTTGGTGTTTGTGGCCTGTGTGGAAGAAGTCGGAGGCGCGTTGACGCGGGTGATTTCGTCTTCGGGGTACTCTAAGATGTGCCTAGGCCGACGGAATCGATTGGAGGACGAGAGGGCGGACGTGTGATAACTAATGGCTTTAACTCTGCAAGTAATTTTGGATACATGTAGCTTGTCACTTGTAGTGCACTTCTTAACTCAATTGCGATTGGAATCCTGTATCGACCTGCGGGAAATGTTTGGTGAGCCAAACAAGAAAAGAGAGTGGACTTAGGACTACTTTACATTTGGCTACAATTTTTATGTCTAGCACCCCGGCTCCCCCTTGCCCAGACCAGAATATAACACACACATTGCTTACCCCGTCCCTATCACTACTTCTACTCCATGGTGCCCTAAAATCTTACTCACCGGTAGAAACACAATTTTCCCAAAATATAGCGTTATTACACTAATATCCTCCATAAGGCGGCATTTCCTTCCCCAGATGTTTGATGAGAGCCTTCCCTCGCTTAAGACTACTTTATTCGCATTTTATATTTGTTTTAATTAACTTGAAACAAGCTTATTAAATCCTATTAACACTATCGAAAATGTAGCCATTAGAAGGGATTTTGCAACTTCACAACTACTTTCACTCCAAACGAGCAGTCCTAAACCAATTAAAACTTTATATTGCTAGCCCAAATTAAATATAGTAACAGCTCTATTTAAATCATAATATCTGAACCCACAATGAATTTTCAAAGTGTACTTAACACACAATTCAAATTCACACAATGATTTCTTTGGATCCAGATATAAGGGAATAAGAGTGCGATGAGAGTTTAAAAAAATTCGTACCTATGGATAATAATCACGTTATTCTTTATTCATTAATAGTCCAAATACGTTAATTCGCTTATGAATATCAAAACAGTCGCAATATCAAGAACCAGTATGTAATCTAAATGAAAGATAAATTCGATACGCCTTTTCCTTCCATTTTGTCTACGAAATTCTATCGTATAAACGCTGCTTAGATTTTTTGTAGCGTATAAAGATTATTGGACAGATTTAAAGTCACACTCAAAGACTTTAATTTTAAGTTTCGTCAAAATTTATGTTGTCACATTCTTTACCATAATGATTTGACCTAAAGAAGAACATTTTAGATTCAAATAATTAAATATATATGATAGTGTTATGTTTTGTTGATTGACTTGCCTTGCAGAACACATTCATATTTCACACCTTTGTCTTGGCCGTCTTAGCACTAACAAGTTTCTAGGGAAAATATATCAAAACACAACCATATATTTCAGTACAGATTCATTACGTCAGTTTAGGTCGACGACGGTCGACAGCGGGGGGAAGACTAGGACGGGAGATATTAAAGGACCCACCGCTCCGTGCCGCCGCTCTTATAATTACTAGTGTAATCCCTCTACTCGATTCATTATAAAATGATTAATCTTAAAGTGTATCGACTAGTATGGGTTGTTGTGTATCTTGTATTAGCAAAAGGTAGATATATATGATGACGATTAACAAATTAATCATATGAAAATTAATACATTGTTTAGAAAAGGTGGTAATGGTGATGTTGGTATGTCGCACTTTGTTAGAGAGATGTAACTAATTCGTTTCTATTTGACCGAAGTGCTAATAGATTGAAATTAAATGAAAAAAATAATCTATTTCTCAACGTCTCAAAGTAAAGTCTTACCTTTTTCTTGTTTAGTGAAAAGTGTACACAATATAATAAGAGTATTAATGGATTATCTCGAATTCTAATAATCCTTACTAATAATTATAAATGTGAAGGTGAGTTTATTTGTAACGCTTTCACACAAAAACGGACTTGGATGAAATTTGGTACGCATATAGTTTATGAACTGGATTGCGACGTAGTATACTTTTTATCCCGGAAAAATATTAGGTTCCTGTGGGATTCTCCAAAAATTCTCTAAATTTAACGTGGACGAAGTCCCGGGCGACCGCTAGTATCGGTCCTAAAACATTTTTACCCAATACGCTCCTTTAATGTAAACGTATGAAACGATTGTGTAAAATACTACACCGAAAAGAGTGATTCTTATCACTGGCTGTGAGGAAGCACGCCCAATTCCGTAATGAAAAAAAGGTTCCTGATCAATGATCATTGAGTAAGTAATGGAGTGAATAAATTGCTATTCAGGATTTCTTCATCAACCTACATAAAAAACTAATCCAGTAAGTACCAAATGTCGAATACCATTACAATTTTTATAAAAAGTGCAGTAAGCAGCAGTCCTGTTATTCTCACCCTGCCGACTATAACCCAATTCCTGTCCTATAAAGCTCTGGAATCTCAATCAACATTTATTGACGACCTCCGTGACCGAGTGGTTTATACGCCGGGTTTCATGGTGTCGCCGACTCGAGAGGTCCCGGGTTCGAATCCCAGTGGGGGCAGAAGTTTGTGTGACAAATATGAGCATTTGTACGCTAGCCATAGATGTTTAATATGTATTTCTATATAAATATACTTATATTATGTATAATATATATATATTCTATCCGTTACTCTAGTATCTCGTAACATAAGCCTTACAGTGCTTACTTTGGGGCTAGGCTCATTGATGTGTGTTGGAAATATTTATTTATTATTATTTATTTAAAATGTCTGTACAAAAAGCTTTAAGGCGCACTCCTTGTTAAAATCTCAAATAATTAAATTACCTGCTTAATAACATGTTATTTGACGGTTTAATATCAACGAACGAGGAGTTTAATATGATAATTAATCAAATGCTTTGTAAAGTGATGTAATGTCTAATTATATTACGATCTTTACTTTAATCAAAGTTGAAAAATAATAGATTTCTTTGAGAGGGGGAGTAAATGTTTTATCGGTTATTAAATTGAGCCCTGTATTTTTATTTCGTTAAAAGGGTGGCAAACAAATGTATGGACCACCTGATGGTAAGCGGCCACCATAGATAGATAGATAGATAAATTCTTTATTGCACACACACAAAAGAATACAAAAATAAGCAAACAATAACATAATGTGGGCAAAGGCGGCCTTATCGCTTTAAGCGATCTCTTCCAGACAACTTTTGCGGTAAAGGATAGCTAAACGAAGAGGAAGTTGCAGTATGCCAGCAACATAAAATAAAGAAATGTACATATATTCTTGAACATATAAAGATTATAAACAAATAAATAATATATACAAATATATACATACTATTTATACCTTCACAAATAAACATATTATGCAATATTATATATTTATAGATACAGCAGACTAGGGTTTAAGTAGCTTAAAGACGTTTCACCGCAAACCTTAGTAGGCTTGTAAAGCTAGTGCTTTCCAGATGTGCCAGTTACTCTGAGTCAAATTGTCACAGTATCGAAGATTGATCGGTCTATCTCAATTTTTTTTCATATTGGTTATTATTTTTAAAAATGAAGCTTTTATTACTTCGCCACAATTTTTTTCGGTTATCTATAGCATGTCGCATTACATTTCTAATTGTTATTAAAAAATCAACTTTATAAATTTTTTCTTAATCATAATATTTATTCACAAGTATTTAACCACCACTCACTGAGGACGGATTGACAATGACAGTGCCGTCGACGAACGGCGCGAATCCGGGCAAGAAGCGCGGCGGGTCGAGTCGCACCGCCAGTAGCTCGCTGAGGGGCTTGTTCCGCAAGCACGGCGCCAAGTCGTCCTCTAGAAGATCGCCGTGACAGCCGGTCTGTTCCGCAACCTACGACAACATTAAAAATAATTATAAGAAATAAATACATATACTAGAAAAAAAACCACTCGGTCCAGGTTTTAGATAGGATTCGAATTGCGCTATCCGCCCGGATGGCGGAAGATACCATTCGGATCCCATCTGAATCTTGGAGCTAGTGGAATTTTTTCTAGTATATTTTTTATTTAAACATCTAGCAGTTAAATGCTATAATAAGAGTTGCAATGATTCTTAATTTTATGCGAAACAAGGATATGATGCGAAACGTGGTCGTTTACTATGGGCCTACTAAGAAGGCTCAAGGTCGCACAGTGGGCAATGAAGAGAGCGATGCTAAGTATTTCCTTGCGTGATAGAATCATGCTCCACACCTGCGCGACGAAGTTTCGTACTAAAGGCACTAAAATAAGCGTTCGAAAATTGATTTTCTCTCCATCATAAGAAATATAGCTGCATGTATATTTTATGGACGTTAGACGATAGCTTTACCGGCAATTTTTGGCGAAACTTGAATGTGCACATACTAGTTAATTGTCTTCAACCTCTTTTATATGTGTCAGAAATCACCAGTCAAGCTATAATTAATTACCTAATTCAAATTTCGAATGCTCATTTTAGCACCAAAGAGGCAGAAATGAGGTAATCCGCAGGAGAACTAAAGTACCCGACGTCGCTCGAAGGATTGCTCAGCTGAAGTGGCTCTACGCGGGACACGTAACGAGGTAAACCGATGGCCGTTCGTTGGGGCGGAAAGGTTCTCGAATGGCGACCATACACCGGATGACGCTCAGTGAGTAGACCTACCACGAAGTGGACCGACGATCTGATAAAGGTCGCGGGAAGCCGACCCATGCTAGTGGCGTAGGACCGATCGGTGTAGATCCTTGGGAGTGGCTTATGCTCAGCAGTGGGCATCATACGGCTGAGATGATGATATGATTCTAGATTCATCATGTTATAATTACACTATATATTTTTTCTTTCAAACTACTTTTTTAAAAGCAACGGCTTTGATTCAATTGGGCACAATTTTCTATGTTAAATCTGAGATTTTAAGATTGTAGGTGTATTTTCCAGAGAAAAAAAAACACGTTTATTTTTCCGACAAAATATTGCTGTCTATTTTAACAACATAATTTTATAAAAGCAAAGTGTATAATACAGTAAATATTATATTCAACAAAACAGGAAACATAAAATTTTTAACCATTCAACTAAACAAACTACAAATTTATCATCAGCCACAATATAAAGTAAAAATGTTAAAAACCGCAACTTTCACAAAAAAGTATCTCTAAGAGGCTTAAAATGGTAATCGGAAACGGGCGAATTTCCCACTTTACTAGCAAATGTTTTCTTCCTAATACATTTACTCGGGATTGGCCCGGCATATAAAAGTAATGACGATTCACCTTTCTTTTTATCGCGAGTGGCTCCCTCTGCAACGCCCATGAGCTTAGTCCGGACCCGCTTAACAAAATGACGCGCCTCAGTAGTTCTGAAACAGATAACCTGATTTAATTCTGTCATTTTGAACAAGGATCAGTGATATAATGAAATTTTGTCAAAAGAAAAACATTGTATTTCGCCTCTACGTTCCGTATATTGGGTTAATGAGGGAGAGGAAGATGTGGTACGTTGTTGACCTGATTTTTGGATTTCGCTTTACACTTATCCTTTTGCACACGACTGATGCGTGTGGCCCTTTAATCGAGTCGTGTAGCAAATGGATTTGAACTGATTGTATTCGAAATAAGTTTGCAAGTAGCGTAATAATTATGAAAATATAAAAATTCACTTGTGATTAATGCTTTGAAATAGTGATGGAGCGCTTAATATTGTGTGACAAAAAAGTTGACATAAGTTATACTTATGTTTTTATTTTTTAAGCATTCAACTGCTAGATGTTAAATCTAAAAAACACTTTACTAGAAAAAATCCACGCGGACCAGGCAACAGACGGGACTCGACTGCGGCATGCTTAAAAAATAAAAACATAACTATAATTGCTATTTCTTCTTTCAAATGTTTAATACTTGTAAAGGTATTCATTTGACATTGTGGGTTACCTACAATGCGAAGAGATGGCGCTGCCTTGCAGCCTAATGCTAGAGAAAATTCGACACAGCCGCCAGGGCCGCGTAGCATAATGGTCAGTGCTTTCGCCCGGATAGCGAAGGGTGCGGGTTCGAGTGCAGTCTGCTGCCTGGACCGCGTGGAATTTTTTCTAGTAAAATTTTCTTTATAAGTTATAGTTTTTTACATTTGTTTTTGTTTATGCAGGCAACCGAACCACCTCATCAGTCCACCTGATGGTAAGTGATCACTTGTTGACTTGACTGATGTATAATGGTGTCTCTAAATATAACAATAACATTGTTTATAACTAGAAAAAAAATCACGCGGACCAGGCAGCAGACGGGACCAGGTCCGCGTGAAATTTTTTCTTGTTATATTTTCTTTAGATTTAAACATCAAGCAGTAAAAGCTGTGTTGAACTGTCAAAAGTAAAGCTTAAAAAATAAAAATTATAAATGGCATTGTTTACTTATTCAAATATACCAACATACTAAATTTCTTTCAGGTATATTTTAACGACATTCCTGAGACACATTATATACCCCTTTAATCTATATACATTTTATTTTAGTCAAAACCCGATAGAGGTCAATATATGAAACAAAAATTTGTATTCAAAAGAAAAGTAATAATAATAATTAATTGATATTAAGTAACTTCATATTAACTTATATAAGACTCTATTAAGTTAAAAATAGCAAGAAATGAACATTCGACGTGTACTAAATTCATTTCTCAAACAATTTCACAGTTCAAAAGCCTTGTTCACCTCTCTACTACCACTATGTGTGTGTGCCTCCTATGCGAGAAAATCGTTTTGTTTCACATCCATTTTGGAATTAGTAACTCCTGTTGTTAAATTCATCAAGCGTTTCGCTTTCACCGCAGTCGTGTAAACCTGAAAATGTCTGTGTTGCATGTTCCATCTTCACATGTATTAATAAGATATTGTACAAACACGGGCTTTCTTTCATTCATTTATCAAATCAAATAGTTATTCAAAACTTAATACTTATGTTACAGCGAACTGGTATCTTTAATAAAATAGTTTTTACTATTTTGATTTTTGATTGCCATTTATTTATCGATAACAAAAATTTGAATTAATCCATTTTGAATATAGAACAACAAGCACTGATTATATATACGAGTAGGTATTCGGATCGCATACGAAACAAAAAATGATGAAAATACCTAGTGCAATGATCTTCCTAGTGGCTGTTTAAATGGAGATTACATACGTCATTGCATATAGTTAATATACAAAATATGAGCTTGTTAAACAATTAAATAAAAAAAGTACCCTACCGTATTTTTTTACTGTTGACATGTTTTTTTTAAGTCGTTGAAAAATCTATAAACATAATTATAAATAAAAATGTTAAAAATACGCTAGCTGCAAACTTTTCTACACAGATGACAAAAATATACTCATCAAAAGAAGCAACATGAACTTTTTACAACTTTTGACCGAATTTTAAAATAATATTTACATTCTTTTGGTTATAATAACCTAGTTGGTTTGTTAGTAGCTTAAAAAAAGCGTTTGAATAAAATATACATTTAATTACTAAAATCAATAAATATCAACTAATGAAACTTGCAGTTTGTGTAAATGATGCATGTTGCTCAGATTTCTTTTAGTGAGGGCTAGTCAAAAATATGACATCGTAGAATTTAACTATGAGACTTTTAAAATTAATACTAATGTTAATTGGTCTCTCTCATAGGCGTGATGATTTGATATTCCGCCAAATTCGTTAGCTATACGTGTCGGAAAACTATGCATTTATTTAAAGAAAGTTGGATATTTTACTTACCCCTTGCCACCGGGGACACAGCAAGAAAGTTCGCCAGCGCCGCCCCGGTGCCGTGACCCATGATGGTGACGGCCTCCGGGTTGCCTCCAAACGCCGGCAGATTCTCCCGCAACCAATGCAGTCCCGCCACTAGGTCCATTAGTCCAAAGTTACCCTGCGCCGACCCCTTAGCACCAGTTTTTAAAAAACCTACAAAGAAAATGATAACTTCAACCCTTGAGGCTGTTTTACGCCTAACATGGAACACATAAAGTGCTTCATGACGCCAAAGCGACAACATACGGCAGCAGTGCCTAATGCTACATACTGTTCATCTGTAGGTCATCTTGTGGTATACAATATGAAGACAAATTTTGCTGCATTTGCGACACGCGGCAGGCTACAAAATTGTGCCTAGATCATTTTCAAAGTACATTTACCTAAAAATATTAAATTATTGGAGTGTCTTTGCTGTGGCATGACGGAATGCCGCACATAAGTGCCCCGGCGTAAATCATCCATTAGGGTAAGAGCACCGAGATGGCATCGAGAGTCATGTTTACAATGAACTGTGAAACTTCATAGTACTTGACAGATAACTGTGATAAAACATAAATTTAAAACATACCACGGTAGGTACCTCAAGTTATAAGAGAAGAAACAGTTGCATCATCGTTTTTTCAACTAACATTTTAATCAAGTAGTTGCGTCTGAGTAGACGCCAAAACGTTACGCAAACTGTCATACGCCCAAACGACAGAATACACACATCACAAAAAGTTTGAGAATACTTGCAAAAGCTGATATATTTTCAAAATTTAACTTAATCAAGACAAAATGTTTACGTTCTATCTTTTTTTATTTAAAAATTCACTTTGTGAAATTGAAAAATTTCAATTCAATTATATTTTTTAGTATAAAAAAATATAATTCAATCCTAAGGCGATTGTAATAGAACTTTGATATAGATAGTTTAACCAAACTCAAAAGCCATTTATTAATAAATTGTTGTGTATCTAATACAAAATAACTTCTCCCCTGGCTCGAACACATGCGGAGATCCTCCTGGGCATGCTGAGGATCAAGTTATCCAGCATTTCTTGTGGTAATCTGTCCCATTCTTGAACAGCAGCTTCCCTGAGCTGTCTGGGGTGGTGGCTGCCGATTCCAAACAGCTCGCTTAAGAGCATCCCACGCGTGCTCTATTGGGTTTAAGTCAGGAGAGCCGGCAAGCCAGTCTAGCCTTGTGCTCTCCCTTGTTCGTTCGTTAGTCATCGAGCTCAACGAGTCACCTTGTTTGTGTGACTCGTTGAGCTCGATGTGCGGGCGCATTATTGTCAACCAGTACAAATTGGTGCCCAAGGTCTGACGATTCCATCAATATCGACTGTTTTGTATCTGTCTGCCGTCATGAAACCTTCATAAGGGATTAAAGGCGTTCTAGCCCCAATCGTAATACCACCCCAAAATGACACTGATTTCCCGCCTTGCTGAACTGTTCCAGTGGCCTTTCCTTGCCTTTCAGAGTCTCCAGGTCTTCTCCAAACATGAACCCGTCGGTTATCTGGATGAGTACTGATTCGCGATTCGTCAACGAAGAGGCAGTTTTGCCAAATGTTTTCCACTTCTCGTTTTACCGGAGCCTAGCCCACTGTAATATCCGTCGCTGACGTTCCCGTGAATTCAAAGGTGCTCGCCAAGATCTCCGTGCTCATAATCCACCCTTGTGTAACCAATTCCGAATGTTTAGAGTGCTAATTTCAAGTCCGGAGGCGGCATGTATTTCTGCTTTTAATTTAGTGGCTTTTATTGCTGGGTTGCGGGCTACCAATAACCTGATGTAGCGCATCTGAGCAGCTTTCAAAACAGTTGGGCGACCGCTGCAGCGTCGATCAGCTAAATTACCCATGCCGTGGTACCACTGCAACGTGGTTACTACACAGGATAGGGATATGGCAATTCTGCGTGCTATTTCTCTCCTAGAATAGCCTTCTTCTCTCAAGCTTACAATTCTGGATCGCAAAACATCTGGTAATCCTCGTGGCATTTTCTAAATCACAACTTCCCGTGAAAAAATATTTTATATTCGATAATATTGACTAAGTCATATTTCTGAATAAGTGTCAGCTTGGATTGCATGTCTTTTTATATGGAAAAACAATTGAATTATTTTATTGTTTTACGTTCTAATTCTATATTATTTAAAATGAACAATCTTATCAGAAAAAAAAAATACAAAAACTCGAGATAGTAAATTTTTGGTCACCCATCCAATGACCGACCACTGCGAAAGTTGCTTAACTTCAACGATCGCAGTCGAACGCGCTAACCACTTGCGCCATCGAGCTCCTCAATAGCAAGCAATAATTCAAGCTTATTCTTTCTTTATTAATAAGGGAGCTACAGTTTAACCATAATAAACGTATCTATGGAAGTGAAAGATAATCACAAGCTACAAGCACTCAAAAGCAGGACGCGTCAAGTAAATACAATTAATTCCTTTTGAAGTCACCCACACAAAAAAAGTAGGGACAAGGACCAAAATTGAATTTTTCTTTCTCGTTACAGACAGGAATTATTCAAAGGTTATTTTTATTTAAATTTAGGAAAATGTACGATCACTCTTTCAATGAAATCTAATGACGTGATCTTTCATTTCAAATACATAAAATGAAGAGAAACTAGACTTGCGCGTTTTTGGTTATGAACACAGACGGATATATATCCGATTTCAAATGTGCCTAGCTTTTACAATTCAGTAGTAAGTGTTTAGATTTGGTTTTATTAGCTATTACAGTTTTTGTAGTAAACAAACACACACTAAGCTATAAGCCAAAATACATCACCTCACCGCCTAGTCACGCAAATACAGTTTTTAAGTACTGAGCCATAGGAATTTAATGATCGATTCAGTGGCAATAGATTTCCGCAAACAACAGACCGAAATCGGACTTCCGAAATTCGCGGCATCTTTTTAACTCCGCTATGTTACGATTGATTAGAAAGGGACAAATCGAATTTTACTTAAGCTCAAATTTGTAAAGAAATTCGCTTTCTAACCAGTCGCAACATAGCGGGGTAAAAAAGATAGCGCGAATTTCGAATCCGATTTACGTTTGGTGGTATTAGATCGTTTGCGATTTGGTTTGGTTAGATTTCTGAGATCGGTTTTGTTGAGAAATGGATCGGAATCGATTTCTGTTTGAAATGTGGTTTTGGATTCGTTTTGATATATCGGCCGCATGCCTAAGAGAAACCACTGCATGATTATTACACACAAATAAATGCATGTATAATAACCTAAGTATCAGCACCTTCAATTATTATTTTTAGATTTAAAATTTCTAGATTTAAAAATCCTTTCCTTTGATTTACGACACGGTACAGTTAGCTAAATTTTAATTTTCTAATTTAAACTTGATCAGTCAAGTAGATCCCGACCAAATCGACTGTGATACACAGACAGACAACCGAGCGATCCTATTAGGGTTCCGTTTTTGCCTGGGGTACGGAACTCTGAGAACAGGTTTTGTTCAATATCTCTTGACACCCAACAGTAATGTAGTTGGTAGGAAAGTGTCATTCTTATAATAGCATAATTAAGTAGGTACCACTGTTATACTTAATACCAATAATTGAAACCCCGAATCACTATATCTCTAAAGAACATTATTCCTAATATTTGTAGCCCGAATGCACGCTATCCCTAATAACTTTGAGGCGAGCTAAACTGTACTTCCATCCAGGGCCCAAGTGGTGATTCTTCACACTAGGTTAGGTTAGATTAGTGTTGTGACCATAACGCGCGAGCCGAGCGAGCAAACCGAGCGTGCTGCGGCAGCGGCCGGCGAAGCGCCAAAAAAATAATACCAATTCTAAAGTTATTAGGGATAGCGTGCATTCGGGATCGAAATATTAGGTATACAGTGTTAAAGGTCTAAATTTATTAGGGATAGCGTGCATTTTGGCTACAAATATTAGGAATAATGTTCTTTAGAGATATAGTGATTCGGGGTTTCAATTATTGGTATTAAGTATAACAGTCAGTAGGTACTGGTATTTTTATCTGGATACAAAAATAATAAAGATCAGAACTTTTGTTCATACTAAAAAGACATTCTTCTTCCTTGAAGTACTCATAGAGTACTTTTAAATAATGGAGATACTCATAGAGTATCTCCATTATTTAAAAGCTCCACAAATCGTCAAAAAAAGCTGATTACGTGAAAAAGGAATTGAGTTTATACAGAATCTCAGAACAGCAAATAAATAAAAACACAATCGGTGTGAAAAAATGTCGCAAGAACAGGGTGAATACCTGTGTTGTAAGATGCTGAAATTGTACCCCGCACCCATTTGTGAAACTCGGACGGAAATTTTCTTTTCAAAGGAAACTTTGGAAGTTTGATTACGTTATGTTGTCACGACAAACAAAAGAGGAGGGGAACAGGCATTTTTATGAAATGACTAGAAGAGCCTCGTAAACTGCCTATTAAATAAACTTATGGCAGCTAAAAGACATGTCTTTTTTCCTTAAATTTAATGTCTGAATGCGTCACTTAGTTTATTAACTTTCTACAATAATTCCTGATTAATTATAATTGTATGCAGCATTAAATTAAAGTTGTTGATGAAAATTGGTTTGGAAAATTAAAAACAAAAAAGGTTTAATCCCTAGTTTATAAATCCAGAAGAAACGCATTGCCCGAGCTCCACTCGTTCGACTTGCCGTGCACGAACACCAGGCAGGACAGCCCTGTATTCCCGCCTTCTTTGTCACCACCAAACATCCGTTCTAAGAGTCAAATGCTGACGTCACACTCACCCAATACACCTGATCTAAAGTTGATAGTGACTACGATGATGTTGCCGTGCGCCGCGAGCGTGGTTCCGTTGTACGCATTGCCCGAGCTCCACTCGTTCGACTTGCCGTGCACGAACACCAGGCAGGACAGCCCTGTATTCCCGCCTTCTTTGTCACCACCAAACCTCTGTTCTAAGCGTCAAATACTGACGTCACACTCACCCAATACACCTGATCTAAAGTTGATAGTGACTACGATGATGTTGCCGTGCGCCGCGAGCGTGGTTCCGTTGCACGCATTGCCCGAGCTTCACTCATTTGACTCGCCGTGCACGAACAACTGCTAGGACAGCCCTGTATTCCCGCCTTCTTTGTCACCACCAAACATCCGTTCTAAGAGTCAAATGCTGACGTCACACTCACCCAATACACCTAATCTAAAGTTGATAGTGACTACGATGATGTTGCCGTGTGCCGCGAGCGAGATTCCGTTGAACGCATTGCCCGAGCTCCACTCGTTCGACTAGCCGTGCACGAACACCAGGTCGAACATCTCTGTATTCTCGCCTTCTTCCTCACCACCAAACCTTTGTTCTAAGCGTCAAATACTGACGTCACGCTCACCCAATACACCTAATCTAAAGTTGATAGTGACTACGATGATGTTGCCGTGCGCCGCGAGCGTGGTTCCGTCGTATGCGTTTCCCGAGCTCCACTCGTACGACTCGCCGTGCACGAACACCAGACAGTGCAGCCCTGCGTTACCGCTTTCTTCCTCGCCACCTGTACAAAAACAATAAATAATTATCTCTTATTTATTTATTCTTGACCCACAATGTAAGCACTGCAATGTAAAGATTGTTTTAAGCGATACTAAGGTAATGAATAAAAATACATTATAATGATACATAGATAAGAATTAGGATTTTTTTTCTATGTGGCGTGTTTTAATATCGGAATTCAAACCCAAATACTAGTTAGGTACATTAGCATTATGTACATAAAACAACTGAGACTGAAAGTTGAATTTTATATATGAAATAGCGCAGCTAAATGGAAATAAAAAGAAACCCTTTATTTGTTTCTTAGGTTTTCACGCACATCACTCATTAAATAAAACTAGTTTTTACGGGTTAATGCACGAAACTTTATTTATTTATTGACGTTTCGTAGCCTTTACAGGCTGCGTCGTCAGAATCAAACTTTTATTTAATTTGTCGAGCTACCTTCGAAAGACTTGTATTGAGCGTTCGGTTATTTCATTGTTCGATTTTTAAAGTTTTATTGTCTATGTATGAATTTATTATTTAATTTACTTAATAAAGTATTTTATTTAAAATTCTTTTTTGTAATTTTGAGTTTATTTATTTGACCCTAACTACCGTAAACTACTACCGGTTCCAAAATTGGGAGACCTTTCTGAGAAGAACCGGCGAAACAAACTCAAGAGAGGCTTTCTATCTCCTTCTTATGTTAAACTATGCAAACAAAAAGAACTAATAGTATCTGTTGGTCTTGCAGTGTGTGCTCGGGGTTGGGATTTTATCTCCTGTATAATGGGTTCCCAAGCTGGTGGTATATACCAACCATCTTCCCTATTGAAATTTGGATATTTTTTAATCTCAATAGCCTCGCGTATCATTCTAGGAACGAATCGTTGCTCAGTTGCAAGGATCTGTGGTTTATCAAATCTAATGTAATGGTTTGGTCCCCCTAATGCATGTTCACACACTGCAGACTTATTTTCGCGCCTATGTTCCATATCTGCGATATGTTCTATTACCCGAGTCCCTATACTCCTCTTTGTTTGCCCGATGTAGGAGAGGCCACAGTCGCATTCAAGTTTGTAGACACCAGCAACTTGAAAGGGTATATTGCACTTGACCGGTCGTAGAAACTGGTTGATCTTCTTTGGCGGCTTGAAGTAAGTATTGATTGAAGCACGCTTCAGAACCTAGCAGGTTGTCGGTTGACTGTGCTAGGTTTGGCGCGACTGTGACGGCGACGTGGTACATTCAGGTTATTATCCTTCAGTACTTGCTCGACATGCTGAAGTTCAGCTGCCAGGTGTTGTTTGTCACAGACACCCCGTGCTCTCTGAAACAAAGAGTTTCCTACGGCAGTTAATTGTTTCGGGTGATGGTGTGAGTCACCATTGAGGTACCTATCAGTATAAGTCACTTTACGATACACAGTATGGCTTAAACTGTGGTCAGGATTCCTGATTAATAAAATATCTGGAAAAGCTAGTTTACTATCTGCCTCTAACTCCATAGTGAATAGGATGTTGGGGTGTATAGAGTTAAGGTGATTTAAAAAGGCAGAAATTTGATCTGTTGGGAGGATTGTGAAAGTATTATCTACGTACCGCTTATATAGCCTGGGTGTGACAGGTGCCACGTTGAGAGCCCACTTCTCAAAGTCTTCCATGAAAATATCGGCGACAACAGGTGAGACAGGGAAATCCATTGCAACGCCCTCCATTTGTACATAGAAGTCATCCCCCCATAACAGGTAGCCAGATGTAAGGCAATGCTCTAGAAATACTGCATATTCTATAGGCATATTATTTTCAAGCAGCTTCTTCTTAGTGATTTCAATGCAGTCCTGTACTGGTAGGCATGTAAATAAGGACTTAACATCAAAACTGACCATGATTTCATTGTCCATGAGACGTTGATCTCTAATCTCATTGACAAATTGGTATGAATCTTTCATAAAGGCTGTTGTGTTACCTTTCAGTGGTGAAAGTAACTTTGCTACGTGTTTAGCCAAATGGTATGTTGGTGAATCAATCTGGCTTACAATCGGATGTAGCGGTGCATTCGGTTTGTGTATTTTTGGTAACCCATACAGTTTTGGTGGTTTGGGACATGCAGGAATTAGGTAGTTGATGTCCAGATCCAACGTTTCGGAAAGTGATTTAATGAGTTAACTTGTCTTTTTGAGAATCTTGGCGGTCGGATCACTCTTCACAAGTTTATATGTGTTCTCATCTGATAGAAGTAGTAATATCTTGTCGTTGTAATCTGACGTATCCATTATTACCGTGGCGTTTCCTTTATCTGCACGAAGGATAGTAAGTTCTGGCTTAGTTCACAAGTTCTTTAGTGCAAGGTATTCATCACAAGGAAGGTTTGATTTCGGTGGTTTGCTTCGTCTTAACACTGATGAAATGTCTTGACGCAGCGCCTCCATGTCTTCCTTTCTCATGTTGTTTTTCACTAAGCAATCCTCTACGTTACAGACAATTTCTTCGTACGGTATCCTGCGTGGTGCTACAGCATAATTCAGTCCTTTCTCCAAAACTTTTAAAGTAGGTTCGTCCAAGTTTTGTTTACTTAAGTTGACAACTGCTCGGGTAGCGTTCACCTTGTCTGTGGTTCTGACAGGTGCGTTTCATTTTTCCTGAACGCGAGATAGTCTTTGATATTTATCTATTTGTCTATGTTTGCACTCGTTGAATTTTGATGACTCACGATTGTTAAGTATCAGAATGCAATTATGATAATCCTCCGATGACAATTGTTTCCTCAAATCACTGGACAAAACCTCAATGGTGCCGTTGATTTTATATAAATCCGAACGATGCCCTCCTATAATCCTTCGAAGTAGCTTTTTACTTGCCTCTTGTAAGATCTTGGCGTTCCCACGTATGTCCTTTTTTGGTGTGATTCTCACACAAGGTGGGATGAGATTGTGGTCTCGGCATCTCTTCAGGAAATTCAACGATGTTAGTTTCCTTGCGCGCTTTGTCTTCAGAGCTTGGTGTATGAATTGATTAATTAAATAATAAATTCATACATAGACAATAAAACTTTAAAAATCGAACAATGAAATGACCGAACGCTCAATAAAAGTTTTTCGAAGGTAGCTCGACAAATTAAATAAAAGTTTGATTCTGACGACGTAGCCTGTAAAGGCTACGAAACGTCGATAAATAAATAAAGTTTCGTGCATTAACCCGTAAAAACTAGTTTTAGAAACCCTTAAGTTAAAGTTAAACAACCTTTGCAATGGCTAGTCATCGGATGGGTGATCAAAAATTTCGTCTTCCATGCTTTAGAAGGCCCTTTAAGCTGTTGATCTTGGCTACATTAACAGTCGTTAGCACCCATCAATCCGCATTGGTCCCGCATGGTGGGTCATGGCCCGTTATGCCTATTATTATTCATAGGGAAAGTCTATGCCCCAGCAGTGGCCACAAGAAGTTTGACGACGACCTTTGGAGAATAATTTTAAGAAATTAAAATAAACGTTATTCAAACCGACTTTTTGTTAGCTTATTTCAAGTACTTAGTCAACCGATTCAACATTCTTATAGCTGCACTCGATAATCGGGCGCAAGGAACTCGTTAGAATTTTACTTTAGTAACACATTTACAAATACAAATACCTGATGTCGGATGTCATTATCATTATAATTAAAATAATATCACCTCTACATAGTGTTAAAATATATGCGTAAAGTATTTTTTATAAGATTAATAAATGTACGTTATGCAACACTTTATGTAAATTCCAAAGTATCACTTTATATTTATTTTTAAGGCACATAGTTACTAACATTATATGGACTGTCTAATATTGTCTGAAAATAAATTATTATTATTTTATTGAAAGATGTTCATTATAAAAACTATTATAATATTTTATTTATTTAAATAAATAAATAATCAAATTTTCCTTAGCGTCGGGAATCCGAACGTCGCAACGCGTCGCCTCCGTCGAGCCTGCAAATTCAAATATGGAACAGAAAAAAACCGTAACGAGGAGGTTGGAGTCTTCTACGATTAATCACAATCTACGCAGGTTAATTTGTGGAATGAAGTTTCTTGTTGCAATTTATCCGTCACAATTTTCCCGTCACGACCAGCAGCAGTTTCATAGCATATTGTGTGTAGTTGTATGCTCATACTTATGTTTACTTAAAGTTTGTATACGTACTTATACTTATGTTTATTTTTATACGAAAATAACTAATTTGTTTTCTGTTTATAGGGACCAAAATAGCGTTTTAATCTTTAGGGACTAAAAGTGATTTGAATAAGGAATGTTGATATTGTTAGCATTCTTATCACCAAAGAGATCAATCACAAACATCGTATGAACAAGTAACAGGTTTTATAAAAACGCCGCTTTCATTCATAATAGTTTACTCAAATTCAAATATTATTTAGTTTTATAAAATAATATACTTATACAGTGGTCTGCCCTCGCCTCATTTAGGTAGGGCTGAAGTGTAGACTATAAAAAAATGCTTGTCTCCCTTACCATTGGTCCATGCCCTTATTATTAAACGTATCTAGTGACCCAGTGGTTTTTACACATTACATTAATTATCACTTATAGTTATTGCACTCATGGTAACTTTTACATGGGAATGGTCTAATCCAAAAACTGCCTGATAATGTCTTGAATAAAAAGTGATTTATAGGATAAGAATTAATACCCGTGTACGAATAATGTGGCCTAGTTTGTACCGGTGTTACTTTTGCATATTTTAACACGAATAAGTAGTTATATATACTTATAATTTTTATTTTTTAAGCATGTAACGGCTTTGCTTAGCTGTACGGTAGCGTAATTGGTCAGTGCATTCACCCGGATAGCAAAGGGTGCGGGTTCGAGTCTGGTACGCGGCGTGGATTTTTTTCTAGTTATATTTTCGTTAGTTATATATAATGTGTACTTACTAATATTATAAAGCTGGGGAGTTTATTTATTTGTTTTTTTTTGGTAAAATGCGCTCTGTGCATTACTGAGGAAGACTATAGGCTAAA